GGGGGGGGGGGGGGGGGGGGGTTGGCGAGTCATGAGAAGGGAGGAGGCTAAAATGTGGTAAAAGCTGATCCTCGGCGAAGGCCAAGACCACCAACAGTAGAAAGGGGAGACTGTAATCAGAGTTTTTTCTACTCCTGGGACTCGTGTGCAAAGTTTGAACCCAGATCTGAAGCCGAAGTTTCATTTTTAAAATTAAAATAAAGTCTAACAGCAGCTGATTGCGTCGTGTTGTTGTTGTTGTTGTTCTCCACACAAACACAAAACGTTACGGCTGGTCTCATCAGAGCCGCCTCCACCTGCAGCCGAGGCAGGAAAACACCTGAGCAAGTGTCCATCCTACAGAGAGATCATTCACCCTGAAGGTCAGACCGTGCACTCCGCTCCGTCTCCTCAGCAGGTCAAAGGTCACGACCTCTGCTCTCTAAAAACAACACGGCAGCACGACCAGAGGACAGATGTTTTACCCAGAATGCACTGCAGCTCCTCCAGCTGTCAGCACAGTGGTGAGGCGTTTTCATCGTTCACTCATCGAAACCTTCGGCTCGTCGAGTGCCTCGACTGCTGCTACGTTTAACTTTTAAAATATTTAACTTCATTTGAGTTTGTTAGCTTTCAGCTAATATTTCGGCACTTTAAGCTACTATTTAGATCATTTTAGAATGTGTGCAAATATTTAATGTTTTAGCTCATTTTAGCAGCTCTTCTGCTACGTTTTGGCTACTCTGTTAATTTCAGCGTCAGTCTTGTAAATTTTAGCTACCGCTTTGCAAATTTTGGCTACACTTTCACAAATTTTAGCATCTTTTCTGCTTTTTGGTTACTTTGCTAATTCTAGCAACTGTTTTGATCATTTTAGCCACCGTTTTTTGTAAACCTTAGCCAACATTTTTGCTACTTTTAGCTAATTCCAGCAACCATTTCTTTTAGGTTTAGGATCTGTTATGTAAATTTTAACCAATGTTTTGTCAATTTCAGCTATTTTGCAAATTTTAGCTATTATTTCACAAATTTTGGCGCCTATTCTGCCACTTTGTGTTTACTCTTAATTCCAGCAACATATATTTTTAAGTTCATCATTTGTTATATAAATGCTAGCTACTATTTTTAAAATTTGTAGCTAGTTTTTTGTAAATTTTTGCTATTTTGTAAAATTTTAGCTACTCTTTTATGAATTTTAGCATCTGTTCAACCTTTTCATTACTTTGCTAATTCCAGCAGTAGGGTTAAGAACTGTTTCTATCAGCATCTGTGTTGTAAATTTTAGCTACTGTTGTGTAAATTTTAGCTTCTGTTGTGTAAATTTTAGCTACTGTTGTGTAAATTTTATCTATTTTGTAAATTTTAGCTTCTGTTTGTAAATTTTAGT